AGTTGGGGCCTGCAAGTTGAGCAGTACCTGGTCCTCTTTGGGGTCACTGCTAGGCAGGATGTGGCCCCATCCCTGCATCTGGGCTCCTCCAGGAGTGCCAGGGCCGGCTGGTGATGCCCCAAGGAAGGACCTGGAGGCTGCAGACTCCAGAAAGACCGTAACTCCTCCACTCTTTTGGAAAACATGCTCTGACCTCTCACCCCCAGTCAGTGCCCACAGCCCTTCAGGAGCCGGGCCCCAGCTGATGCACCCCCTTTCTGCCCCAGACACCACAGATTTCAAATTAATGTTCGCCACGTTCCAGTTGGACCCAGCAAAAACGCTCTGGGACGATCAGATCAAGAACAATCCACCCTCGCCGTGGTGATGCAGCTTCCTGGCAGGGACTGAAGCCGTGGTGCCCTTGGGAACACACTGGTCACACCTGGGAAGTCCTGACTGCGAAGCCCCCTCAGTCCTCCTGGGTGGGCTCCATCCTGTGCAGACAGGGTGGGGCAATAAATGGTTAGAGTCATAGCCTTGCCTGAGCTTCTTCCTCTGAGGGAGGGGGAAGAGCTCTGTTCTAGCAGGGGAGGGTCACCTGCCCAGGGCTTTTCTGCCGGCGGCCTGCTTGGCCTGGTCTTGAGGAGACTCCAGGGCTATTCACTGGCACCCCCTCACTGACACCACAAAATGGGCCCATAGGTCCCAGTTCATTCCTTGGTGGGTGAGGACTGACTCAGGGTCCCTGAATATCTGGCCCTCAAAGTCAGAGAGGGGACAAAGAGACAGGGGACTTCCTGTCTAGCGCCGCGAGGAGGCCCTAGACCCCACCCCCATCCTTCTCTGCTCAGGAAGGCCCAGCCTTCCTTGGGGCATTGTAGGGTGATGAACAGAAATGAGTGGGGTCCCTGGCACAATTCAGGCACATTTCTCAAGCCTCACTCCATTGGAAAGCAGTCCCTAGCCTCTCTCCTTCCCTACTGTGTGTCCTGTGCACTTCTCAGAAGCAGGAGCCTTTCTGAGGCCACCTGCTCTTGTTCTGGTGGGGGTGAGACAGGAGGCCCCAGGAAGAAACAGCAGGATGTGGGACCATCATGCCCCGTGACTGTAAGGCTCTGCGCTAGCACCTCCTAGGCCCTGTGTCTCCAGGTAATATGTTCCTCCTCACACCTCAGTTTCCCTTCTCTAAAATGAGAGGACTGTCTAGACCTGACACTCTCAGCCCTGTGGCAAAGTGTTGGGATGGGTGTGAAGAAGCGGTGCTGTCCCCAAGGTCCAATGAGAGCCTCTGTTGTTTGGACTGGGTCAAGTCTGGGTGTCCACAAGGCAGCCCTCATGGAACGGAAACCTGTAGCGGAAACTGGGACTGAGGACCCGTGAGCAAGATAACAGAAATAGACGCAAGCAGCCATTTCCAGGACAGGCCAACAGGAGAGAACAGAGAGCAGTGGTCAGTGGATGAACCAAGGGCCGACCACTCAGTGGAATACTGGGAGGGTTTAGGCAATCACCACCTAGTGGGGATACTTGAAGTGTGGACTCTTTGCACTAGATTCACACTATGACTATGACCCTAGTGTGCATCTCAGGGAACACAAACACTGTGGACAGATGGCAGCACCTCTGCCCCTCCCCAAAGGGTGCTGCCGGGTTTGAGGCCCTCCTGGAGCCCTTGGGGAGGGGAAGGCACTTGGGAGGTCTGGTGACACCAGGAGGCGTACACATTTTGAAGTTGACATAAAGTTAAGCAATCATCTGCCCTGTGACCCAGGAGAGTTAAGGTATTTAAAGAAATAAACACAGGTGTCTACAAAGAGATTATACAGAATACAAATGGCAGCTTTATTCATATTAGTCAAGAAGTGAAATCAACCCAAATGTTCATCATTAGAAAAATGGCTAAACTGTGGCTCATCTCAAAAGGGATCCAGTTAGCAATAAAGGGTGCAAAACACAAAAAATATCAGTGCTCACAGGACCCTACGTGAAGACAGTCAGACTTGAAGCAGCACTTAAATGTGATTCCATTTAGATGCAATTTGGGAGAGAAAACTTGAATCTATGATCACGTAAACCAGAAAAGTGGGCACCTTCTTTTTTGGGACATGGGGAGGCTCGGCAGGGAAGGAACATGAGGGAGTTTCTGGGATGTGGGAAATGTTCCAGTTCTTGATGTGGTGTGGGTCACATGGTATTGGGCAGACTTCAAAAGAATGTTCACCCTTAAGATGTGTGTGTTTCACATTGTTTACATATTCTCAGTGTAAGACCATTTTATTTATCTAGACATAAACAAGGTCTTTAAATAATGAACTCTATTTCCTGGGTTGCTTGTCCACAGTGGTGGGAGCCATGAATTCTGAACCTCCCTGCTATGTATTCCCACTTGGATAAATGCAGACCCAGAGGCCAGGTTTCCAGGATTTCTGGAGATGGAGTTACATTGCAGAGGAGGAATCCAGCGTCTCCAGGGATGTTGGGGCCGACTCTGAGGAATGAGTCTGAACTCCTTCTTCACATGATTCCCCCGGGAAACCCTGGTTTTTCCCTGCCTGGTCTCCTGGTCTCTACAACTTCCAGAAAATTCCCTTGATTCTCTGAGAGGGTGAGATTCTTGTACAGGAACCAAGCACCCACAGCCCTAGTAGAATCTGGGTTTCTCTGCCTGCAAGGGGAAAGCCAGTGGGTAGGGGGAAGGGGGTCCAGGTCAGAGTCTTGGGGCCTCTCCTCCTTCCTGGAGAAGCCCAGACACCTTTCTCACCTCTAGCAATGTTCTCAACCCCAAAACTGTTTTCAGCACAACTGAAGTAAAGCTGGCCTCCTGCTCTGCACACTGCTGACTCCCCTATGACCTGGGCAGGTCCTTTCCCTCCTCGGTCTGGGTCTCCTTGCTGTGCAAAGGGACACTGGGTGGGACAGCCCTAAGTTTGGAGAACTAAAAACAAAACTCTCTGTAAGGGAGGGCGGAGCTGAGGGCAGGAGATGAAAGGCCCTCGAGGGTGGTTCTGGGAGAGGATGGAAGTCTTACTGGTGTCCACCCTGCATGTTAAATATGCTGCCCCACTTTTGTCTCCTCCAAGGGACATTACAGTTCTGCACCTCCTCCATGTGACTATGCTCTGCTGACCCCTCTGTAGGAAACAAACTAGTTTTGATGGCAGTTTTACTTTTCTGCTTTCAAAGCGGTTTCTGGGCAGAGAGGTGGGAGGGAGGTTAATGTGAGGGTAGTCCTGCCTTACCCTGAGGAGGAGGTGGGGGCAGGACAGGGAAAGGAACTTGGAGCAGGACTCAGGTGCTGCTGCAGGCCAGGGGTCTCTCCTGGTGGGCACAGGGTGTATGGGGGGCGAGGAGTCACTTGTATTCCCTTCTTAGATGGTCCCAGAACAGGGGTTCTGGGTCCTACAGCTGCTTACAGCCCAGCCTCCTGGCTCTGCCCAGACACCCACTGGGGGCAGCATAGGTCTAGGTAGATGCCATCTCCCTATGTCCTCTGTCCTGCTAGGCCCTGTGGGTAGAAGAGTGTCCAGGATTGTGTGGGTAGAAGAGTGTCCAGGAGTCTCGACCCAGATCTTCAAGTCCAGCTGAGTCTCCCCTTCTCCTTCCTTCTTCTCCTTTAAACATCCCCTGTGTGCAGGTTCCTCTTCCCTTCCAGGACAGGCAGGAGGGAGGAGAATCAGGGCACAGCCTTCCCCAACCTACCTGGCTCCTCCCCCTGCCAAACTCCCCTCTCCACAACCACCTTTGCACTTTGCTCAGCCTGTTCCCTCTGCTGGAAGGACCCCCAAGCTGAGGTCAGCCAGTGAATTCCAGCAGCCCCAAGGGACCGGCACCCTCTTCTGTATCTCTCAGTGAGCCACCCAATATCCTCAAGAGGACTTCCTACCCCACCCCCACGAGTGTCTGGTCCTCCTCTGCTACTTAACAGGGTCACTGGGGTGTACCACCAGCCCTGGGTTCCTGACATCTGGGTATCATGCTCTTAGAGCCTAGCCAGTGCCTGTCAAGGAGTCCCTATAGGGTCCCCAACTCCACTTGTCCTTCTGGTATTGAGAGCTCCAGCCCACCAATGTGTCCACAGGAAGGGGCTCATCTGAGACTTGGTGTGGGGTGATAGGGCAGAGGGGCTTCACAGGAAATCCTCTCCTGCCCGAGCGAAGAGGGCCCTCTCCTCCAAGTCTCTCCCATCGTGGGGTCTGCAGGAAGCACCTGGACCTCTCAACCAGCATTTGCTCCACCCTGACTGTCAGCCTTTCCTAGAAATGCTTTGAGTGAGAACACTGCCAGGCAGAAAATGGAAGCCTGTGCTGAGGTGGGATGATTCTGCAGATTCAGCTTCCTGGGGGTTCAGCTCCTGCTGGAGCACCCACCTTGTCCTCCTCTGGGGACCTATGTCCATACAGCAGGTCTCAAGAGAACAGCTGCCTTCCTGGAGGACATAGAACAGGTGATGCAGAGAGCAGGTGGATCAGGGGCTCTTGCCCAGGTGGGGACAGACCAGATACAGGGAACATGGGCCCTTGACCAGACAAGGTCACAACCCAGGTGCAAGGGAAGTCTCAACCAGGTGGGTCCACAACTTAGGTACAGGGAGCATGAGGGGTTCTCCCCAAAGTTGGAGATGCAGGTGCAGGTAGCCAAGGGTGGAGATGGCTTCACCCAGGTGGCGCTACAGCCCAGATGCAGGGAGCAGGTGCTGTGGTCCTAGAGCCAGGAACTCTGGTATGAGTCATGGGGCTTGGATGGAGGCTTTGAAGAGCTGGGCCCATGTCCAGTGCCCGGGGATACCTGAGTGAGGCCAGTGGGGCCATGTTGTCTCACACTCAGGTTGAGGGAGGATGCCAGGCTGTGAGGCGGGTCCCATGCGGGTGCCGATTGGGCTGGAGGTGAGGGGCACAGGTGTGGCGTTCCCAGAGGCCCAGGTGCACACTCCCAGTCCACCTCCACCCTCTGGTCCTGGAAGCCAGCCAGCCTCTGCCAAGTTCACTTCTCCTTGCGGCTCTTCAGAGGGGCCCAGGCAGATGGCAGGTCTGAACGTGTCCCTCTCCTTCTTCTTCACCACCTTCACCCTCTGCGAGGCAGCCAGGAGGATGTCCAGGGCCCTGCTCCCCAGAAATGCCTACAACAGCTTCGTCCGGGAGGTGGTGGGTGCGGCCCAGCTTGGGGCCTGCTGCCTGGAGATGAGGATGTTGGTGGAGATCGGACCCTGGCTTGGGGGCTTCGGGCCGGACCTGCTGCTGACCCTGCTTTTCCTGCTTTTCCTGGTGCACGGGGCCACCTTGGACGGCGCATCGGCCAACTCTGCTGTGTCCTTGCAGGAGTTCCTCATGGCTGAGGCATCTCTGCTCAGCACACTGCTGAAGCTGGTGGCCCAGGGGCTGGGCCTGCAGGTTGCCTGTGCCCTGACCCGTCTGTGCTGGGCCTGGGAACTCAGCGACCTGCACCTGCTCCAGAGCCTCATGGCCCAGAGCTGCAGCTCGACCCTGCGCACATCTGTGGCCCACGGGGCACTGGTGGAGGGTGCCTGCGCCTTCTTCTTCCATCTGACCCTCCTCCGTTTGCGGCACAGCCCTCCCACCTGCAGGGTGCCGGCCATTGCTCTGCTGGTCACTGTCATGGGCTACACAGGTGAGAGTCCCTCCTCCTTTCCTGGGCCCCACATCCCTGTGGCTTCCATCACATTCAGACCTGAGTACACTCAGGGGAGGGGGCTGGTGGTTGAGGGGCGCCATGTGCCTATAAGGATGGGGTGGCCATTCCTTGGGAACCCGGGTGGTCGATCAGGACCCACAGGCTAGGTACGTGGGGTGGAGAGGGGCCCCAGTCCCTGTCAGGGCCATTCTCCTAGCTGTGCCTCTTCCAGTCCCAACTGCTCATTCCAGAATATCTGCACCTTGGGCAGGCGGAGATATAGGACTTTTGTCTGTGTCCTCTATCATTCCTTCCAGAATGAAAAGTCCCGTCTTTCTTCCTCACTGTGTTCCTGCCCTTTCCTCTCAGCCCCTGATGTCTCCCAAATGGTAGCATCACCTACTGGCAGCCTTGCCCCATGATTGCTCCTCCACTCAGTTTGACCTTGGGACTAAATTCTCATGGGTCTCTCAGCCCCGGGGGAGCTGCCGTAGGTCCTCCCCCACATCTGATCTAGCCCCACCTTCTGTGGTCACCAGTCCTGGGCTCCACCACCAGGGAGGAGGCCTTCTCTCAGCAAGCCCCCTGGGACAGGTCCTATAAAGGTGAACTACATGCTGGGTGAGGTGGCTCATGCCTATAATCCTAGCACTTTGGGAGGCTGAGGTGAGAGGATCACCTGAGCCTGCAGGTTTGAGATCAGCCTGGGCAACTTGGCGAGACCTCATCTCTACAATAAATCAAAAAATTAGCCGGGCACGGTGGCACGCGCCTATGGTTCCAGCTACTTGGAAGACTGAGGAGGAAGGATCACCTGAGTCCCAGCAGTTGAGGCTGTGGTGGCTGCAAGCATGCCACTGCCCTCCAGCATGGGTGACAGAGTGAGACTTCGACTCAAAAAAAAAATGGTGGACAACAAGTTAATCCAAGATCCACTCACTTGTGCTCCAGGCCCTGGGGATAAGAGAGGAAGGGCTGAGGGACAAGTGTCCCCAGGTCTCCACTGGGTGGGTCAAGGACCCAGTAAAGACAGAACCAGTTCTTTGGGTTGACTTTTCATGACACTGTCCAAACCCAGCACAGGACAGACAGAACCTGAGCCCAAATGTTACGAGAAGATGCCTCCAGAGCCACGTACAGATGAGGAAACCAAGGCATGGATGACCAGGGAGGTTGAAAGGGGCAGGGCTATGCAGCCAGATTGCCTGGGTTCCTGTCCTGGGTGAACCCAGAGTTCCTGCCAAGGTACCTCCTCAAGGCCTGGGTGCCTAGCGTCTTAGCAGAGCTGTCCATGTGCTGGTCTACCCCTGACTGGTTTTGGGCCCCATTCACAAGGCTGCCTGCTCTTGCCCTGCCCAGCAGCAGGTCCCCATTTTTCATGTCCCTGTCCTGGGTCTGAAGGACATTGGCCTGGCTCCCACCACTTTCCCAGGCCTCACCCAGTCCCTTCTGTCATTGCCCCTCTCCAAGTTCTCGGTCTCCTTCTCTGTTTTCCCGTCTCTCTCCATCTATATCCCTGTCTCTCCCTCTATCTCTGTCTCTGTTTCTGTCTTTTTGTCTCTCTAACCAACTGTCCCTCTTAGTCACTGTCTCTCTCTTCTCTGGCTCCATCTCTTTATCTCTCTCTCTCTCTCTCTCTGTTTCTATCTTTCTTTCTCTGTCTCATCATCTCTCTCTCTTTCTCTTAATTTCTATCCCTTCTCTGTCTGTCTCTGTCTCTGTGTCTGTCTCTCTCTCTCTCTCTTTCTCTCTCTCTCTCTCAAACTTACTTCCTAGTTTTGGAAACTAGACCAGGCAGGGAGGATATGAGTTCATGCTAGGCTGAGATGTGAGGAGGGTGTCCCTGGGGAGGCCCTTGTCTCAGCTGCTCCCAGATGCTGCGTTCGTGGCTAAAGTAGTCTCACTGCTTTGTGTGCCCATCAGTGCCATGCAGGCAGGGAGGGGCTGAAGCACTGGCCTGGTGCCAAGACCCATGCCCAGGCCTGTGCATAGTAAACTCTTGCCGGAGACTTCTGGGGGTGGCTTTGGTCCTTCCCTGGAGAGATGCCTGCAGACAGGACCGGGACCAGGGCTGTCTGTACTTTGCCCACAGCAGGGCCATTCACGTCTGCCTTCTTCAACCCCACTCTGGCTGTCTCAGTCACCTTCCACTGCTCGGGGCACACCTTGTTGGAATATGTCCAGGTGTACTGGCTGGGCCCTCTCACAGGTAAGACAGGGATGGGGTGGGGTCCCTTGGGCTGCTGGTGCCCAGAGTACTATGGGGCGGGGCAAGAGTACTGGGTCTGGGGGTGGCCTCTTTGCAGGGTGGACAGTAGGACATGGTAGTGACTGGGCCATCTTGCCTTGGACACTGTCACAGAGCAGAGGGGGTTGTGACCAGGTACAAAGGGAGCAGGGTGGAAAGAAACCCACCCTACAAGGAGTGCTGAGCAGATAGGGGAATGATACCGGCAGTGAGGGCTCCCTGCACCAGGGGTTCCCACTCCCTGGGGGTGTCTCCACACTCCCAGGGCCAGGCTCCATTAACCAGGAGTCGGTCCTTGTGAACCTGAAGCTTCAGGGGAGACGGGACTCACTTAAACAGGTCAGGGAACTGTCCCGCTCTTACAAAGCTGTGGGTGTGGGCATGGCACATCCCTTTTTATCCTGGTGGGGCTACCCTTCAACTCCCTAAAACACAGAGAGGACCCTTTCCCTCAGCTCACCCTATTATTGGGGCCCTTCCTTCCCTGAACTCCGGTCACAGGCAGAGGAGTAACAGGGAAGGCCCTGGGCCAGGGTGACTGCAGCGGGAGGACATGGAGCCATCCCCAGTCCTGGGATCCTGTGATTCTGTCCCTTCTGGGGTCTGAGGCCCCAGGTGGAGGTCACACCCCTGCACCTGGCCTCAGGAATTGGGCTCCACCTGCTCTCCACAACTTTATCAGGTGAACAGTTGGGGTCCTGTGGAGGTCAGGAAGCTTACCTGCTGCTGCAGGACCTGCACCAGGGAGCTCTCAAGGCAAAGCCTCAGCCTCCCCTGGGGGAGGAGAGACAGAAGCTGGCAGTCTCCCAGGCAGAACTGGCCCTGAAACAGCAACAACAAAGTCATTATTATCTGTCACTTAGTTCTTATTTTATCACATTTATGTGTACACAGTACACAGTCCTACGAATTCTGCTAAAACATGCAGCAGTCCCCGCTCTTTGCCCCATCCCCCTACTTCCACTCCCCCTCCCCCAGAGGCAGCATTACTCTGCTAGCTGAGTACTTCGGTTCTTACCCCCTGGTCCAAACACTGCAGGGCTTCTCCGTGATTTTTAGTTCAGGCATCAACTCTGGAGTGTCCTTTAGGGAAGGTGGAAGCTGACTTTCCTCTCTTGCTGCCTTCCACTCCTTTCTTATTTTTCCACCCTCCAGGAGGGTTGATATCCTCTTCTGATGAGCTCCAGAGCCAGCTCTGGCACCCTCGACTGTGGATCATGACCATGGCTGACCTTGGAGGGTCCATTTCCCCACAGTCGTGGGGTCCTGGGTCTCTCTTACGTGGTGTTTCTAAGTACTTTTCATTCATTCAACACCAGTGTCTTTCACTGTCACTTTCTCCCAAGATGTATCCAGTGTCAGGATTACCCAGGACATTCTGCTATCATCTGGGGATGACCCTTCACCTCTCTCTAGTTTCAATTCTGTTCCCTGTTTTCTCCCCTTCTCCTATTTTGGTTTGTTTCTTCTTTGTGCTGGAACCCATCTTGCCATCTTTCCTGAGAAAGCAGTACAACGAAGGAAGCTGCAAGCAGGTGGATGAACAACTCTAGATGGAACCTGGGTAGGTTGGTTCTCACAGGGCAATGAAGAAAGCTGGAAGACAACCCATTTCTTCCACAGGATCCCCACAATTTCAGCAGTTGACAGCTTGGGTCCCTCGGTAATGTGTCTGGTGCTAACCTGGGAGGATGGATGGCAGTTCTGTGTGAGAAGCACTCAGAGTCTCAAAAAGCCAATCTAGGGAGACATTTACCACCTTCTCTACCCTGCCAGGAGACAGACTCATTCTCTAGAGAGGGAGTCTGGACTTGGAAGCACAGGCATACCCAAAGGCACGGCCCTATACTAAAAGAGAGATCTCAACCTCTTTCCACTTGGCTCCCAGAAGCTTCCAAATGCGAACTTGATAGCTTTCTCAGGAAAGATGGCAAGATGGGTTCAGACCTCCTATGACTGAAATTACTATCTTGGTTCTGGCCTGCACCTGACTGGGTTTTGACTAGGGATTGAATTCTGGGTTGGAGATCAGTTTCCTGTTGTGTTTGAAAAGCCCCACTCCAGGGCCTCTGTGGTAGTTTTCTGGGCTACTATGGTGAAGTGTCATGAACTAAGGGGCTTAACATTGCAGAAATTCATGCTCACACAGCTTGGGAGGCCTGAAGGTTAAGATCAAGGCATTGACAGGGCCTTGGGCTCTCTGAAGGTTGTGGGGAGGATCTTACCTGGCCTCTTTCCAGCTTCTGGTGGCCTAGGGCAGTCTTGGTATCCCTTGGCTTGTAGACCCATCACTTCAACCTCTGCCCCATCTTCCCATGGGCACCTCCTCTGTGTGATTTTGTCTGTCTCTTCTCTTCTTATAGTGATACTCTCATCAGATTCAGGGTCTACTCTACTCCAGCACAACCTCATCTTGATTTAGTAAATTTTGTGGACAGGACCCTGTTTCTAATAAATTCACATTGTGGGGTTCTGGGAAGGATGATTTTGGAGGGAATTCTCTTTCCATGCTATAGTCTCTAACCTGAGAACTGCCGTGAGCAAGTCCAAAGCTATTAAGTTCGCATTTGGAAGCTTCTGGGAGCCAAGTGGAAAGAGGTTGAGATCTCTCTTTTAGCATAGGGCCGCGCCTTTGCCGCTCCCCCTGGTGGTCATGTGGGGAAAGAGGTGTTCTCCCCTGCACCTGCTGCCTGCCCTGAGCTGGTCTCCTCCCCTCTCTGGGCCTGCCCTGCCTGGAGTGGGGACAGTACCAGCAGGGGCCTCAGAGGGTTAAATGAGGGGCAACAGCGTATGTTGGCAGGCTGTGGGCACAGGGACCATGCCAGGAACCATAGAGATCTATAGGTGGTCAAAGGCAGGTTCTGCCCAGGTTGCTCCTGGTGGGACCAACACAATACAGGTTAAATCTTTAAAAAACTGAGGCTGAGCATGGCTTATGCTGGTAATCACAGTGCTTTGGAAGGTCAAGGCAGGAGGATTACTTGAGCCCAGGAGTTCGAGACCAGCCTAGGCTTGTCTCTACAAAAAAAAATTTTTTTAATAATTAAAAAAAAATATTTTTTAACCCCATGCCACCTTGGACCTCAAAACCTGACCTCCTGAACTACTAATAAAAAATATATATATCAAAAAGATATATATATATTAAAAAGATCTCTCTCTCTCTCTCTCTCTCTCTATATATATATATATATATATATATGATTCTTAAAGGAATGGGATTGAACTTAAAGACAATCTGCTTTCTTTTCCCACCTTAGCACATTGAATTTTTCAGTGTTCTGGAAGGCAAGTGGGAATTTAGGATTCTTGAATCCTGGACTTCAGAAAAGAATGTGGGGAAGAGGAGACAGCCAGGCCTGGCCCCTGGCCCAGGGCCACACTGCTCTTCCTAACCCAGGCCCAGCACATCTTTCTCTCCCTCCCCTCCCTCCCCCACCTCCATGCCAAACCACACCCTAGGAAACAGTCACCCTGGATGGCACATCACCCTCTGGATACAGCCCTGGGAACAAAAAGTCTACACAGGCCCTGCAAGTTCCTGAGGTCACTTATGCAGAGAACTCAGAAACTCATTAGGGTTCATTGGAAGGCCCCAGAGTGTGGTCTAGAAGTGCATGGGCTCACCATTGGCTTGTGTCATCCCCCTGGGTAAAACAACAGGGCAGACAGGAATGGGAAAGCCTAGACTAGGGCCTAGGCAGAGGTCCCCTTAGAGGGATCTTCAGGATACCCCTGACCCAGGTGTGTGGGTTCCCTGTCCTATGGAAGGCCTGAGAGTTGGTGTCCTGTCTTTAGTGCAGGTATCTCTAGGGCCTGATCTGACCTGCCATCTCTTGTAGGAATGGTCCTGGCTGTCCTGCTGCATCTAGGTCACCTTCCCCGCCTCTTCCAGAGGAACCTCTTCTACAGTCAGAAGAACAAGTACCGAATCCCCAGAGGGAAGCTAGCCCCAGGTTCGGGAGATATCCAGAAACCCACAAAGGTGCACAGTGGCTGGGAGCCTGGACCCAGTGGGGTTGGGGACCACTGTTGAGTTCCAGCTGAGCCTCCTGCTAGGTGTGAGCCTCATATGGGGGTCTCGCTCCTGGTTGGACTCTGGAACCTTCCAGAGCTAAGGGGGATCCTCAGTCTCCCATCTCTGAAACAATTTGTCAATAAACAGTTCCTAATGTCTGCCTGTCTCCTTGTGCCCAAGAGAGGCAGGAATGAGCGGAAACAAGGAGGCTGGTCTGAGTTGTCTCCATCTCTCATGGCCCTTTCCTGTCTCTTCTTTATAGAATAAGAATGGAAGAAAAGACTTGAAAGGACAGGAGAAAAGGCCTGGGGAGTCACCTGGTCCTGAGAAGTTTGTGTAGATGGGGCCTGCTGTCCTGGCTGTGCCCATGACCACAGCCCAGGGAGGTTGAGGGACTGAGGATGGTGGTGGAACCTGAGGCTGCACCTGTGATCCAGGCACTGGACACTCAATTCCACCACTCACTGAATTTCCTCAAGACAGTGGTGTGGGGGTCCCCCAAGGCCAGGCAAACCCTTGTCAATCACTGGCACTCTGGCTAAAGGTCTCCTTGGCTCCAGGCCAGTTGGAAGGAGCCTCCTGCCATTTCCTTCCCAAAAGACCAAAGCTCATCTAGAACCCTCCACCCCAAGAAGACAAAGGCTCCTCAACTCTGGTTTCTGTAGCCCCATCCAGAGAGAGTGGAGTGGCTGGGACTCCTGCCGCAGACTATATCCTGTCCTCTGGAGGGCAGCAGCTCCTGGCCCCAGCTGCTGTGTGCCGAGGGAAGGACCTGAGAAGAAAACAAAGAGATGTCCTGGGTGGTTTTCCCCTGGGGATGCCCAGAGGCCACATCTTCCTGTATGAGCTATGCTTTCTGGTGGAGGGAGAGAAAGAATCCTCCCACTTCCCTTCCGTGGTTGCTCCTTCCTCTCCCTAGAGACCCTCTCCCACCCCAGCAGTAAGGCTGCTCTGTCTGGAGCCCCAGCCTCCTTCTTCCCTGCCTTGGTGAGATCACTCTGAAGATGGGTGACAGAGAGTCCAGGAGCCTGAAGAACTCAGGGACGGGGCTGAGTACCTGCCCTGTGTGGCCTCCAGAGGCTCTGGAGGCCTGGTAAAGGCATGGTGAGGGCACAGTGATGGAGACAGGATGGGGCTGACCACCTGTCCTCACAAGGATCAGTTGGGGGCTGGTCCAGGCCTAGGGTGATCATGGTGTCCTCAACAGTAGTAGGTCAGGGTGTGGCCCGGGGGGGGGGGGCCTTGTGGGAGAGCGCCAGGCTCCTGTGTAGGAGCAAGGGCATGTTTTACCTGCACATGTCCTGGCAGTCTATGCACAAATATTTCCAGGACTGAAAATTCTGGTGTTCATGCAGTACATTTTATCAGTAAATTAGTACAAGGAAAGCTTACACATGGATATTGCAATAAAGTGTACCAGGAAGCTATTAGATTTACTCAAGTTTAGAATCCACTTTTTGAAAACTTCAACATTGCAAACAAAATCCATAAGCTTTAAAACAAAAATTAATTTAAAAACCACTGCATTCAAGAAAAATAAACACAAATTTAATAGGAAACTTTGGATGAACCAACTATTAACATGGAAGACAATTTTTAAATTTTGTCTCAGAATTTTAGATACAGTGATAGGATTTACAAACAGATGTCTCGAGTTTTGTGTAAATTATAAATTCACCTTCAGTTTCTTATATGAACTGCAAGAGTTACAGGAAATGCCAGAAGAAAGACTAAAATCTCACAGTGTAGACTTGCATTTAAAACTATATTCACACCCAGAATTGATTTATGTGAAAAGTTAAAAAAAAAATTTTTTTTTAGTGGGAGTCTCACTCTGTTGCCCAGGCTGGAGTGGAGTGGCATGTGCACAACCACCGCAGCCTCAACCTGCTGGGCTTAGGCAATTCTTCCGCCTCAGCCTTCCAAGTAACTGGAACCACAGGCACGTGCTACCATGCCCAGCTAATTTTTTGCTTTATTGTAGAGAAGAGGTCTCACCAAGTTGCCCAGGCTGGTCTTGAACCCCTGGGCTTAGGCAATCCTCTTGCCTCGGCCTCTCAAAGTGCTGGGATTACAGGCTTGAGCCATTGCGCCCGGCAAAACTTACATTTAAAAAAAAAAAAAATTTCTCTGCCAAAATTATCAGCTCTATTTGTGGTAAAATTTCCGATTCCAGGTGACTTATCAGAGAAGTACCCCATGTGTCACAGCCTGTAGAACACTCTGAACTGTGATGAGTCCATCAGCAGAGAGACCCCACTCAAAATTAAAAATGGTCCCAAATGACTTGGAATCTTGAATTTGCCAAGGATGACCTGTGATGTTTCAATTAGATGAAATATAAGTTTCACTGACATAACCAAGGTATGTGCAGAAAAAGGAGCTAGGAAAATCGTAGGATGCATGAAGAGTAAAGTATTCTCTATTTTTTACTTAAAAATTCAGCCACACATATATTGCGAGGTGTAGCGCGTACTTGGTTGCTCGAGGCTGCTATTCAGCAATCAGAAAAGTTAGAGAAACGTCTTTCTACTCTAGTACCTTAAGGACAACTCTTTCTGCTTGTGAAGGACAACTCTTTCTGCGTTGTCATTTGTTCTGGGGCCTTCACGTGCCACAGCCCCTGCTGGGATCTATGCTGGTCCAGAGGGCCCCCGGTCCCGCGTCCGCCTCTGCGCCCTTTCCGGGAACTGGCGTAGGTAGAGGCGCCGGGCGAACTGCAGCTCGGGGGTGGCAAGGTCGCGGCAGGTGCGGCGCGTGGCCGGGTCCAGGCCGGGTCGCAGTTCATAGCCCAGGATTGGTGCCAGGCCGTGCTGCAGCGGCGCCAGCTGCGGGTCTCTCCCACCGGGCCCGGTGGCCTCCCCGTGCAGGAGGCAGGTGTGTGCCCACTGCGCCCGCCGCCGCCGCAGCTCGGCCACCTCTTGCCGCACGCGCGCGTCCCCCAGGGCGCCCAGGCGAGCCCACAGGGTGCGGTTGAAGTGCTCGTAGAGCGCCCAGTCCAGCGCGCTCCAGGCGCGCGCGCTGCGCTCGGTGCTCGGCCCCAGCGGCTCCAGAGCGAAGGCTGCGCGCCGGTTGGCGGGGAAAGCCACCACGTCATCCAGGTCCCAGCACAGCGCGTGACGCAGTAGAACTAGAGACTCGTCCAGATGCTCAGCGATCAGCACCAGGTCGAAGCGCTGGGCCACCGCGCGTACCAGCTGGGCTCGGCGGCGGCGTGTGGGCGGCCCATGGGGGTCGAAGCCCAGGTCGAAGGCCATGAGGTTGCGACCATAGTGGCTGTCGGGCTTCAGTGGGTCGTAGAAGGTGCGGGTGTGGGCCAGAAAATGGCGCAGGCTGTGGGCCCGGGCGAAGGGCGAGGCCATCTTGTAGTAGGAGAAGGCCGACTCCAGGACCCGTGCCGGGTCCCGCAGGATGGTGAAGTAGAAGGTGTCTCTGGGCAGAACTCGCTGCACCTGGAGGAAGGGGGTGTGCCCATGAAGAGCAGCTGGCTCTGGGAGCTCCAGTAGCTGGCTTGAGGTTCCACCCAGGAAGCGCTTCCTTCCTAAGTATCAAGCCCTGAGATGGGTGAGCATCACCCTGTCAATCCAGAAGCACATGGGTAGGAGGCTGAGCCTCACCCTTCATGGCCCACCCTACTGAGATCCCTGGACAGGGGGTCTGCCACCAGCCACTTCCCAGGACCTCCAGAATAGGAACAGTCACTCCGTGACTCTCAGTTCTGCGGCCACCCTCACCCACACATGGGCACCCAGCTTTTTAGGAGAGAAGGGCAGGGTGGCTACTCTTGACAGGAACAAGGCTTCTCCACACCTATGCCTGTGGACAGCCTGGAGTCTCCCAAGGTCCCCTGTGCTGGACAGCTCTGTATTCAGTGAGCACAGAAAGATGGAATGTGCTGGGTCATCCTCCTCTCCTTCCACCCCTATGTCTCAAGGTCCAGGACTCACCTCTGTGGGCTGAAACCTCAGATGCTGGCACATAATGTCAAATTGAGGCCTCAGGTCACTGGAGAAACCCTCAACATCGCTGGCTGAGAAGTAGTGCGGGTAGAAGAAATGGGGGGCTTGACGGGAAGGCAGAGCAAAGGTGAGGCCATGTTTCAATCCGAAGCGGAACAAGATGTTCACGACAGTGCTGCTGGCACTCTTATGGACCTTCAGGAAGAACAGGTGGGTCCTGGGCTTGCAGCCAGAGACTTGGGAGGACCCTAGGGGACCAGGCCTGCCAGAATCCGAGGCTGCAACCCCAGGATGGCCAGAGCTCAGAGCCTGGTCCCACAATGGCACTGCATCTGCCTTGGGTACTTGGGCTTCTATTTGCCACTCCTGTGGCAGTGTCTGGGCACTGCCCAGTGTAGTCAGTGACAACTTGCACAGAGCAGGGCCCAGGGTCCCTTCTGACCAAGATGTGCCCAGGAGTTGGCTCTGCCCAGATGCACTGAGCCCTGCTCCAGGCTCACCCAGAAGCCTCGTTCCAGTCCAGGACCCCCCCTGGGGAGTGGACTGGGCATCCAGGGTCCACACAAGGTTCCACCTGTCTCTGTCCACGGTGAAGTCGGTATACCACAGCCAGGATGGGGCAGACCCCAGGTTCTCTATTATGCTGCCCATGAGCCCTTGTGAAGGGTGTTGATGGTTTCCGTGGAGCCCTGAGATGTGGTGAGGAGCCTTCTCTAGCCTACTTCCAAGCCTTCTGCCCTGAAGTCCTGTGCCTAACCCAGCAAGTGAACCACTCTGCATCCCGGGGTGCTGTAGAGGTCTGTGTGTTTGCTGGGGGTTATGTTGCACAGCGTCCTGTTGGTACCTAGCCAAGAACAGTGATAATGTGAGTTGCCATCTTCTCCTCTTAAAGCACCTCTCATGACCTTAGATGACTACTCTTCAATTTCTCCTTAACCAATTCTTGTTCTCCATGTGGACTTCCCTACGCCCTGCACCCCCAAACATAGTAAATATCACAAAACACACAAAAAATATAAAATGATATGCAGAGCTGAGGCCAAACATTATCAATCACAA